ATATATAGAGCTTCAAACGCTGATTACAAATATGGAAACTAAAACTGCAAAATGAACCTGCCAAGGAAGTTGTGAGCAGTCAAAGTTGGCTGGAAGTAAAGCGTTGCATATGAACCGTGCTGCATCGGCTTTCAGGCTTTCAGAGTCGCCGCGGAGTAGTGGTAGTGCCCTCGCTCTTCACCCCGGAGGTCATAAGTTCTCCTTCCCGTTGGAATGCAAATTCCGAGAGCACTACCACTACTCCACGGCGACTTTGAAAGCCCGGAGGCTAGCAGTGTAATGCTTTACTTCCAGCCAACTTTGACTGCTCACAACTTCCTTGGCAGGTTCATTTTGCAGTTTTAGTTTCCATATTTGTAATCAGCGTTTGAAGCTCTATCGATATATCTGGGTCTCAATTCAAAGTTCCATGGGAAGTTGAATGCCTTTCCTGGTGAGTGATGTATTACGTAAACCTTAGCCAAGAACGTAAGTGAATTTCATACCGTTAGTACTTTCGAATTTCAGCCAGCAGCACCTCGCCAGCGAGCACCTTTGGATTTGGAGCGACAGGTAACTTAGTGAACTTGTCGTTAGTCCCATTGTGTTGAGATAAAAGTAGGCGTAGGTCAATTTCCTGGCCAGCTGGCGTACAAATGTATACAAGTGTTTTTATCCTCCCAGACAAGTCTGGTACCAATTAACCGACCCCGGAGGGATGGAAGGCTTGGCCCGGGCGACTCACGACCCAGGATTTGATCCCCGGACCGCTCGCGTGGTAAGCGTGCCACTTGCCACTACACCACTTCCGCCTAGATACTGAGACACATAAGTTATAAATAATTTAAGTCAAGATAAGTTAGTTTGTAGTTGTATAGATGTCCATGACTGACACGGTACCCATATTAACACATAGTTAATATTCAGAGCATTCCACGGAATCGTGCGCCTCCGAAACAATCAATCTCGCCGCGAATACCCGACATAGTGGTAAGTGGTATATCAGGTCATTAAAGTCAATTAAAAGTGAGCGTACTTGGCCAGGAAAGCCCACTGTGGAACGAAGGGGCAAGCTAACCTGTGCTACTAGCAAGAAGTTTCAACACCTTAACTTCTCCCTCGGCCTAGGAGATAGAAATTGTGCCGTTCTGACGGTTAAGCGCGCGTAAGGGCGCTCGGGCCTTATCAAAATATTGAATTAGGTTGAGATAAGGTTACGCCTCTAACAATCGGTGCAGATACATCAGCAGGAAAAGCAATGCTAATTGAGGCGCTTTACCGTTTGGATGGCAATTGGCCATACTTTGGCATGAAATGCGAAACAATTTATGGCATAGATGGCTTCTGATGTGCTTGCATGAAGCAAATTGCTTTTCGAGAAACTCGCCAAACACACCCTATCCCCATGCGGGCTCCTGTGCTGCAGATGAAGAAGGTCGGCTTATAAAAAAAATCTTGATTTTGACAAGTTTTGGTGGCTGGTTGCTGTTTTTGGCCACTATTCGCGATGCGGAAATTATTACAAAGGGGCTGGCTCGTGGACAAGACGGGACAAAAAGTAAAGCAGTGGCTGTGCACTGGTTTCGGTAGCGCACTGTCGAAAGCATGAGGTGCCGGTTCTTTCCCGCGGTCGAGGTGTTTTACCCATATATCAGAACCCTTGTGATAACATATTAGGAGATCTTCCAAAGAGTTTATCTGCATTTTTTTAACCGGCGGTCTACTTCGCCACATCGCTTTCATTTTTGAGTGCTAGAATCACATCAATTTTTTTGGTGGCTTGTGGCTTTAGGGCGCATCCCAACCTGAAATTATGGGTTGAGTAAGTCGGGACAGTGGACACGGTTTAGGTGAAAATCAACTTTGTGGAATTCCTTTCCTTGCTATCTTATCTTAGTCCTAGAGTTGGAATCTCTAACACTGAGGATAAGATAATATGTGTATAACTCATTGACTCCAGCCCTTCCTCCCTCAGACTAGATCACCCATATTCATCTGGTGGGCTCCTCCTCATTATACCACTTCAAATGGAGTGGCCAACTAAATGGCACCTTGTATCATCTACTCTGCTTGGAGTTCTCCTAATTTTTTGCTTGTTTCCCCAAAATCGTTTCAATCTCCAAGAAATAATCTTTCATTTCAGTTGGAAAAGAGTGGCGCATCTACAGAATTCAACTTCGGTCCGCTGAATTTACCAGCACCTACACTCTCGAAGCAGTTGAATGAGAGGGAGAAGCATTCTCTCTCACAGTCGGCATCAGCTCTCCGGAACAACTTCAGCGGAAAGAAGCATAGCGGTGGTCGGATCTCTCACAGTGGACAATCACATGCGGGTACACCCAACCGCAAAGTGCAGAATTTCTCCGGTCGTAACGCAAACTTGCGGATCCCTCCGATTGTAACACCACCTGGCGGACATCTAGCTTCACGTCAACGCACAGAAGACTTTGGATTCGATACCGATGACGAGGACGCAAGCCAAGGAAGCGTTCTTTCAGGAAACAAACATTTCCGTGATACTCCTATTCATACTCCCATCGGGGGTTTCGCCGCCGGACCGCATGTGAAGGTAGGATCATTTTGAAGTGTCTTTAACACATTCACGACGACGCCCCTTTTCCACTTTTCGGTCGCGTGGGACGGACGCGATTTTGTGGGCGCCGCCGCCTAACCTCACATCCGCAGATTTTGTATTTTGTAAAGGAATTTAAAAGCATTTCAAACTCGATTACGAGATTTACCCACCTATCTGTCCATTCCTAGCGCCTGGCAAGCGATTATCAGCTGGCAGCCCATATGGGCTGCCATCGTCCCAGGAGCACATGTTGTTGGCAGCCCATATGGGCGGCCATCGGCGTGAATGTGTTAAGTGGATTCTGATTGTATAGCATTTCTGTAGATTTGAAGTGTGTGAGCGATATCGTCAAAAACAAGCCGGTAATGGGTTCACCAAACAGGTGGAGAAATTCCATTTTTGACATTAGGGTGCAATTTTGTGAAAAAACTTTTTTCCTAAAAAACGGAAAAATAGCCTTCCACTGCCTTGCTAGTTGTACAAAAACTTTAATTTCCGCCAAAACTTTTACTGTAGGAGGAATCCGCAGCCCTGGTTGCTAATGTAACGCTCGTTTCGGACTGGGCGCTGCAGGACAAACGTTTTGGGTCAACAGTCTTTCTCACCAATTTCGGCAGCAACCTAACTGTATCAAAGTAATGATTGATGATTTTGAATGACTATCTATTTTGAGAACGGGGCCCTTTGATGACCGTCATGGTCAAACTCAGAGTAGGCTGCTATGGCGACCGTTGGGGTCACAGCCAAAGGCTTACGTTAGTCGTGACCTGGGCAACGAGAACCCAGATAAGAGAAAGATGCGTATAACTTTGGGATGATTTAGGTGGTAGAAACCTGTAACGCACTTGAGTCAAAGTGAATAACTTTTTTCGAGATGGATTAGACTACCTCCAAAGACAAATTCCAAGCAAAATTAAGTTTTTGGCCCTAATTTCGTGAGCATGGAACAGTAGGGTGTGATTATTGCCAAAATTTTTTCCAAATGTCTACAATTATATGTCTTCAGGCACATACCTCCTACGTATATCCCGAAAAGAATTATCCTTTGAGAGCGTGCTTCTATAATCCGTCCGGCTATGCTTGCTGTAACAGAACTCTCAATGATGAGATTGTACAAACTTTCGAGGTGAGATACTGAGGCCGACACACGAACCACTGTGTAATGCATGCGAATTGATTACCCGCCTATCACTCTGTATTCTGCGTCTTTAAGTTTTTTTTACAGCATCTAGTCGCTGAACCGGGCTTCAATCTCTGCAACACACAGAAGATTGCCAATGCTCTGCAAACGAACTGCGCTCGCAGGTTGGTCACGTCCTCACATTTCACCTGATTACTAAGCACATGGTAAGGTCCGTATGAGGGTTAGTAATTATAAAAAGGTTGCCATTTAAGGGATTAGATTAAGGACGTAGTGAATTGGCGTTCACTGGTTTGATAATGTGCGTATGTGCTTTAAAGGCAAGATTCAGGATTGAATTATGAGGTAATTCCACTCAAATGTGAAAGTAGGGGTAGGAGGTGGACCGCCAGTGGAGAAAAGGAAAAAAAATCGTGAAATACACAGGAAATACGAGCCTTTTGCTCTACGCTGCGGAGAAGTTCAAAAGGCCGGCAGGGAGATGAGAGATAATGTGAGCGCGGAGAGCGCTAGAGAAGTCCGAGTAGAGAGAGCATAGCAGATCAAGTTGCGACGCAGACAAGATATCGAGCGGTGGGCGGAGCGTGTCGCAACAGGTGGAGCGTGTCAAAGTTCTTAGCGCCTAGCGTCTAAGTAACGCTTTTCGAAGTAGGGAAGTGACGCGACCTCTACACTTGCGTACCTAGCGCTTCTAGCCACCGTAAAGGCTCATTAAGTGGGTCTGAGCCCGAACTTTGCCTTTAAGGTACATGTGACTAGTACAGAAAAGGGACTGACTCAAAAATTTTGCGTGACCCGGTCTACCTTGTACATTTACTAGGTTTCTCACATAGATGCACAATCTCTCGGTCCAATCGTTGAGTACTCTGAGTTGGAGACATAGTCAATGGCTTGTCAAAGAAACCCAAGAACAAACAAAAAAAAACATTGCCTTCAAGGGTGGTAATTGATAACGATACCCTGGTACAAGGGGTTCGTATTTATGACTTTTAAGGGGGGGGGGTGTCGTATTCAGTTTAAGTTGGGCTGTTTCCTCAAGGAAAAGACAGAAATAAACGAAACAAAACAGAACAGAGAAGAAAGTACAGCACCATGGAGGTGCTCGGAAAATGATCGTGGGACTACTTTTGAAGAGGGTCAAACTGCCCCCAAGGGTCGTAGCATGGTGTTGAGCTACACCTTCTAAGCACCACCTTCTCTACACCAATGAGGCGATACCTATCTCTATACCTATCGCGTATCTTTTAACGTTACAGTGGATTAAGCCTATGTATTTTATTGGAAGTATTTCAGGTTCAAATTGCAATTCGAGGCAATTGTCGGCCTAGCCGATTATGCTCAACGAGTGAACTTCGCTCGAGATTTGGTTTGCAAGGTTGAACTTGCGGGAAGGTTAGTGAAGGGGAAGTTTGAGAGCTGTGATCGTCTTCAGCCTACTGCGCTACAGGAGATATCGTTTCTAAAAAAACAGAGTTTCTATTGAGCACTAAACTGTTTATTTGAGTTGAAATCGGAAACTCCTTCAATTTCCGATTTCAACTCAAATATGAACGGAACTGCAACACTTTCGATCTCCCTCTATTCGACAGGACTGCCGATTTCATGCTATCGTACACTAGGATGTAAGGCGGGACTTAATCGATCGCTTTCAACAGGAAGGCTTTTGCGGATTTTTAAAGATGACACGCGCGTGTTATAGGAGGCGCTATGACTGGTCAATGCGAGTAGTCCACAAATGACAGCCCTCGCAGCCACGCGCGAGTAACGTGCTGCTGAATTTTGGGCTTGTAATGAACGTCTATTTACTAACTATTTGAGGCAATGGATATTTCAGGTACATGCTCGTCTACGCAACTCCTATACCTACTGATAGAGTGAAACGCGAAGACAGTGCGGTTGTCGTCGACGAGCATACAATGAAGCCCGTCGACGGAAGCGCCTCAACTGCTGGAAGCACCACTACTCCAATATCTCTAACAAGCCGAATTTAGATCATCATAATATTACTATTTATCAAAGGAGATTGATTGTGAGGGCAGATGTTTAACCTGAATATGGAGGAATAATGGAGCATATTTTGGATTTAATAGTAAACTTGCTAGTACTTCTTATTTTTGCGAATCAAGTGGTGCTGGCATCCGAGTTTGTAAATGAAAAGAAGCAGGTAACAATTCATGAAGTGCACATTCGTCTTCGTAGTAAAGCGCCACCTCGTGACGCGAGCGGTCTCGTAGCTGCGCTGCGCAATACAAAATTAACTGGTAAGCACGTCATGCCTTTGTCTGGAAAAAATGGTAAGAACCTTTTTTTGTTCCATTCACGAGCATTATAGCATTGGAGAAGAAAAAAAAGGACAAAAAAACGAACAAAATCGAGCACAGCTGTTTGTTGAACAAATTAGATTAGACGACTTTATCTGCACTTTATAATTGCTAAGCTGGCAATGACCAATATAAATTATCCTTTATCTTCGCCCGAAGAGTTGAACAACATCAACATAGCAGTACCCATGAATACGTTATACAATGTTCGATTAATGATTATTAAGCCTTTGACCTACAACAATGCACAGCACGTGCGCGCTACGCGACGCAGCCGGACAGATACACATGTATTGCTGGACTAATATTAATACACACGCTTCCCCCAGCTTGCACGGAGTAGGCTCAAAGAAACGAGTAATTTTTGTAACAGTTGTCACCAATTGCTTGTTTTTTGCAATTTGGCACAAATTTCGGAAAATGGAGGACTAGCGTCAAGGTTAGCGTCCCGAACTCCACTGCTCGGAACGGCGACAACTGTTGCAAACCACTATACAGTCCATATATCTCAAAAGCGTTAGCCGACCTATGTGTCGCGTTCCATGGCCGCGCCGCGACCGCGTGCGTCCTTGTAGACCACTACGAGTCGATCTAATTATATGGACTGCATTTGTGCATACCTTGACAACAAATGATGAAAAACAAAATAAAGACCTAGAACCGAAGTCGAACTGGTACAAAGGAAAAGAAGAAGAAAAAAGTGAAAAACCTCACTGGTTACATCATTCAGACTGGTTTTTGTTCATATTAATATTAATTATAACACAATATATCACAAATGGGTGAACAATAATCAATAAACGTGCATGCGGCGCCCTGAGCGGTCGAAAATGCCTTCCACTTCGAGTAACGAACGGCAACATTCAAATATAGGAGCGGAATCATCAGCAATGATGATTCACACGACTTTCCCGTATACGGTAGAACTATGACGATGACACTTGGTGATGACTAGAGTAAATAGTAGCGTAGAGGGTGGGATTGTGGGAGAAAGGGTGATCAATTCTTAGAAGATGATGATTTGAATACGCTGCCATAAAGCGGGAAAAAACGAGAAGGTACAGGATGCAGCTGAACCAAACGAGCTCAGCCAGACTTAAAGGCACTGTTTGCAGCGAGGATGTGAGCGAAACCTTTTAAACCACCCCAAAATTCCTATTGGTGCGCGATTCCAAAGGCCCCACCCACTCGCTTACGGTGACCAGGTAAACAAAGGCTTGGATTCTGCACATTTTCTGCTTGGAATAACGAAATATGATCTGTCCGAGCCCTTCTGGGATCAACTACAGAATAAGTTCGAGATGTGCTTCGAAGTCAATGGCAGCGTCTTCAACACAACCAATGATAAGAACCTACAACGATGGGTAAGCAAAATCTTTCTGAGTTCGAGGACGACTTCTGGCACATTGCCAACTCTAACCTATTCTATTCTGAAGAGGAAAAAAGGGGAAAAATAGCTACAAAACTGAGATACGACGCTTCTTGAATGCTAAGTACCCAATGTTCACAATCGCACTTTGTACATAACGAATGAGTAATAAGGAATAAACATGAACATGGTACGGGGAAATCCTTCAATAAATAGTGATTTGAGCTTTTTGACAAATGCCTTGTTTCTATTCTACTACTGGTACTGTAACGTATTTGCTCCTACTAAAGAGGTTTCTGAGTCTTTTCGTACGGGACCGGTACCAGCCAATGACGAACTATGATAGAGCTTGTACCAGCCAATGATCGGCTCCGAACCCAATCGTAGATCGTCTAATCGAATTAATGCAATGCCCATAAATGTTTTCCGCTCCATTCTACCGTAGTCACCAAGAACTGTGATCTGAAAAAGAGCGACATCAACATTTTTCGACATTCATCATACATTCCTGAAATCAGCTGGTATTTTCTAGCACTCCTGCAAGGGCAATTAATTTTGCGAGAATCAGGAAGAAAAGCGGGGAAATTCGGTACAGTAATAGTGCTAGTAAACCTCCCAAACTCTTTTTTGGAGAACAAGTTCATATCAGAGGAAACCTTCAGTTCTTTCTGGCGGAAGAGCTTGTGTTCCTTCGGAAATCGAAAGTTCGGATACAGAATGCAGCATCTAACGAGAAGTGGAATTTCCTGTTAATAGCGAACAGAAAACGACCTTTACTTGGCCGGGTGAGCCAGCCACTGAGCCGGATATCACACGACACACCCCTAACTCCACCCCAACCCGCTCCCCTCCGCCCAAGCTGTAGTCTCTAATTAGTTATGCTCTGGCTATATTTGGTATAGGAACTTATCGTGCCCATCTTCCATAATGCTCCCCCTTGCGAATGGACACTTTACACACGAAAAAAAAAGAAAGAAGGAAAAAAGCAGCTGAAAAGATGTTTGGCAGTGTATGCGAAAGGATGCCAGTTATGGTACGCATAAAATTCTCATTCTTCGAAATCTGAATGGTCAAAAACGACAAATTAATTTCTATATTTCGAGACATGGGAAGTCAGAAATATGCAATCGACTTTGTACTCTTACAACCACAATCCGCGATCCATCTTGTTGGGGATGTCCCACCCGAAGATGCAGTTTCCGGGTCCACGATCGCAGGAGTGGTGCCCACTTCGGACCAGGGTCGGTCCTATCGTTGGTACTTTTTGCAAAATTTTTACGACCCCCCTCCTTCACGAGAAGTTTCATACGACCCCCTCTTCACAACCACTTTTTCCCTCAAAAAACACCGTCGAGCGAAGGGGGGGGGTATATAACTACCATGAAACCGCAAAATTTCCCCATATTTCCCCTCTTTTTCACCTATATTTCCACTGCTCCCTTTTCTCCTTTTCTAGGGGGTATATACGCACGCTGAAACGGCAAATTTTCTCCCGCGCGCTCTCACCTCATCACATGTAATTTCGTGCTACCGAAACAAGTACGACCCCCCACCACAAACTTCAACAAACTACGACCCCCCCCCCGTTGGTACTTGTAGCAACATAGGGTTGACCCTGCTTCGGACCTCGGGTCACTAATGGTAAAGCGCTGCGTTCAGGACTTGGATTATCGAACATCCCACGGATTCCTGCACACTCACCGGCGCAGTACCTCAATTATGTCTAGCGGATCTGCTATTCTTTGGTTTCGGGGCCTTGTACATTTCCTCAACGCCCACCAACCCTGTTCTCGCTGTCTGGCCCTCACTGTTCTCGAAAAAGGTTGCGTTTTATGTCACGTCTCGACAGTACTTTCATGTTTTAGTGAAAGTACCTCATCAACTTGATCGTGGGATGTGCTTATAAATGGCCTAACAGCTTAAGTAAATAGTTTTCGAGTACTCGGATTGCAAAGCCAACACCAGGGCCATTTGACAATAGCCTGACCATCAAAAAAAGCAGTAAATTATGCTCACCTGAAGCATTTTTCGTTTTGGATTATCATTGAAGATAAGATGTTGTTGAAATAGCGGCGCTGTGGTTTTTCTGACAGGATTCGTCTTCGCCTTTGCAACACACGTTTTGCCTTCCATGAGATACACCTTGACGTAAGGAGCTGCAAGTGGTGAATATTGTCAACCAAAATAGAATTTTTTTAGGAACTAGACAAATACTTACCAGGACTGATTTTGACGCCTGGCTTCACTGCAAGATTCTTTGCTCGAATGATCTCCACATCAATGCCGGAGCGCCCGGCCATGATGCCGATTTGAATCTCTCCGAGCAGCGGACTTGCAAGCACTTGTCGTCCAACAACTTGTCCCGGACCGAGGTTGTCTACGAACGTTCCAAGCGGACCATCTGGCAGGACCGGTAGCCAACTACAAAAACAGAGCACGTTAAGGAGGATTTCACGATAAGATTGGGGGTCAAAGAAGAGGAAACCTACTTAGCGGAAGACAGGCGACCGCCTAAGGATCGAACCAACATGCAATTCACAGCGAATGACATACCCCTGCGATCATGGCCCTTTTTTAGACGGCGAGAGGTGGCCCCTCTCGTGCCGCCGCTACTGCCGCGGCACGGGAACGGCCACCCTCTCGCCGTCTGAGCCTCTAGCCGTTTAGCAGAGAGAGCGTTAGCGTTGAAGAGGGCAGCACCGATGAGAGTCGCATCAATGCGGAAATCAACGGGCAAAGAAGGGTCCCATTTCTCGGGTTCTGGGCCGTTTCTCATGGTTTTTTCTTCATCCCCACCACTGACCACCTCTACCTTGATTTGTACTGGACTGCCATTTCATCGCAAACTCTGCCTTTGGGGTATCCTTGAGGCACAAGGTTTGAAGGCACTGGATGTGATAGCTCAAATCCGGAACGGTTTCGCTTCGGACGTCATTTGCGGTTACTAGCAGAGGGAAGCCGGGGAGGGAAAGGGGGAGTGAATGGGACTACTTCCCAGCGCTCTTCAACCAATAATGCCCAGAGATGTCATCAAACTCGCTTCGCCCAACATGCTCCTGCCCAGCCAACGGACTGTCTGCCTTTAAATCTGTTGGCACTCCCCCTGACCCTGCTTTACGTTGTCAATGCAAAATCAGCAGCAAAAAAAAAACAAGCGCTATTGCTCTTGGCAATGCTACGCGATTCCCCACAACCTGAGCACCCCCGTGCTGGGATTGGGTAGCGCGAGGCATGTTTGTGATTGCTGTTCATGTGCAATCAGTCGTGTGCATTCGTGACACACATAGATCCCATCTGGAGTCGGGGTTGCGAAGCACTCGAACATGTTACGGTGCTAATAATGCTTTAAAATGGCCTTCAAACTTCAAAGAAGGACGGAGGCTCATGAAATCGACCGAAGGAGTATCTATTCCGTAGCTACTCAGGAAACGGACTCGCCTTTGGACCTGCGCTCTGAGCAGGCCAAAGGTATTGAAAAGAAAATCACAAAAGAATAATCGAAATTTGGCCAGCGGGAGAAAATAAACCCGCGCAGGTTTTCTCCAATTCCTTTTTTTTTACAAGCCACCTCCCAACCGCTCCCTTCTAACAGCTACAGCTTAGTTACGAACAAACATACTGCTCAATACTTACTTGTCAGAAGTCGAATCAGTAGACTCTTTACTGGCTTGCTTGACAAACTGCTGTTGCTGCTGGAGGCGATCAGCAGCCGACAAGTTACCCGGAATTCCAACCTCCTCAGAACGCAGAAAGCCAGTTCGTTTTCCTTCTGAAAAGAATGTGCTGTTTTAGGCATGGAATGTTGCCAGGCGACAATTTCGATAGTAGCCACTCACCAGCAGCGCCGGATTTTCCGGGTATAAAACGTGTCATGATGCTTTTCTTGCGTTCCTTCATTGACTGCCCTTGCACTGATGACTTGGCCGAGACTCCAGAAGCTGATGGCACGTCTTCTGGAGCGTACTCCTCCAATGATGTTTCTTGCATGTCACTGGACTCGTTTGGTGGCATACATCGGCGATTGATTGTTCTGAAAGAATAAGAGACTATAAATAATATAAAGAACATCATACAATGCGAAAGATCCTCTATAAAGATAGGATCGCGATGATCGATGTGGGCGGATTCGCCGAAGCGGCCGATACCTTTAAGAATGGGCGGGCACTGCGCGCAAAGCGGAGCGGATGGAAATCTGGCTAACAAAAGGATGGTTAGGTAAAGAGGTTTGTTTTGTGATGAACTCTAGGATAACTCATTTGGGTAGAGCACATTCCAAGAACCAGTCCCTTATTACCCAAGTTGTAGAATACGATCTACTGGGAGGTAGACTAACTCGTTTTGATATTTTCGTTGGCAAAAGGTGTAAGGCAGAGGCCTTGATCACACGCAAGCACAGCCCGTTCCGCAATACACGCCTTGGAAAGACGCTAACGTAATGTCTGCGACCCGGCCCTATTCTCTACCTTTTACAGCCTCCTCGTTGTCGTAGCCCTTCGTCCGAACATACACTCTCTTCTGTGGCGTAGGCCATGCATGCCATAGAACAACAATGGAAAAAAGATTCTGGGTCACCCGATACGTCCATTCTTTTACCCTTTTTACCATCGTTCAATCACGTAGTATCTGGGTTCATACTGGAATTGTCACAACGACGGTCGTGGGCGCACCGCGCGCCCGGCCCCTGTCGAATCATTGGTCGCGTGGCGGGGCTCCGCCTCCGGCCACGCCTCCAGCCGAGGCCTATATAAAGGGTCGCCTCTGCCAGTCGGCGCTCTTCGTCTCCTCCGGGAGAGACGGTCGTCGGGCAACGCGAGGAAGGCGAACGGCTAGGGGTGCCTGCTAGCACCCGTCAGCATGTTCGGGCATGCTGTCCCGTTCGCTCGGAGCGCTGGTAAGTTAGTGTCCCGCTACACCCGAGGGACACTATCGGCTGCAGGCCGTTGTTACCGCTGTTACCGCTAATGGCTGAGGACGACTACAAGCGTTGGCCGGGCTTCTCCACGCTCGGCAGGAAGTTGAGTTGTAGTGCGTCGAAGGAAGTTATCGCCAATAAACTATGAGTCCAAGATGTGTAGTGTTGTGTACAAGTATAGCAGCACGGGTAAGCTTGGGGGAGCGCCAGGGCTGGGGCCCGTTAAGGCGCAATAGGTCATCATGTGCTGCGAGCATCAAGGGGTTGTTACCGCGGGGCATGGCCAGTAAACCCCCCGTTCCTGGGTTAGGAACCCTGTAAGGCCCCGGGGTGCGGAGGTCATGCGTGCGGGAAACCGCATGATCCCCGGGAAGGACCCGTAGAACGACGTGTGCCTGGGAAAGGCCACGGGGCCCCGAACCACCTCGATGCGTCGTGTTGGAGGGTTAGGAGGGCAACCGCTCCCGAACCACGACATCACGATAGTCATATCCAGCTACTGCGGAAAGTGCCTCTAACCAGGAAAGGCATTCAACTTCCCATGGAACTTTGAATTGAGACCCAGATATATCGATAGAGCTTCAAACGCTGATTACAAATATGGAAACTAAAACTGCAAAATGAACCTGCCAAGGAAGTTGTGAGCAGTCAAAGTTGGCTGGAAGTAAAGCGTTACGTATTACCGTGCTAGCCTCCGGGCTTTCAAAGTCGCCGTGGAGTAGTGGTAGTGCTCTCGAAATTGCATTCCAACGGGGTGACCTTTTCGGGTAAGAGCGAGGGCACTACCACTACTCCACGACGATTCTGAAAGCCTGGGATCCAGCACGGTTCATATGCAACGCTTTACTTTCAGCCAACTTTGACTGCTCACAACTTCCTTGGCAGGTTCATTTTGCAGTTTTAGTTTCCATATTTGTAATCAGCGTTTGAAGCTCTATCGATATATCTGGGTCTCAATTCAAAGTTCCATGGGAAGTTGAATGCCTTCCTGGTAAGTACCAACCTGACTGTCGGTATCGAATGTGCTGAATGAGTGCTCATGGTCTCGCTTCCGTCTGATCCGTATTCCTGCGGCTGCTCCTGCTCCTGCATCAGTTCAACCAACGATCGACCATTCGTCGAATGTGGTTCATGAGGTGGATATCGTGACATATTCTGTTGAACATATCTAAAATTTGAGCTCTCAGATTCAAACGCACTCAGAGCAAAAACAATAGAATTCTACAGTGGGTTTGTGAGTGGAATAACTGTGAGTAAAGCTAGAAGAACGGGAGTGGATTTCCACGGACGAAGAAAAACGTACCGTCCATCTGGTGTCAATTCGCCATCATCCCACGTCTGCTCGGGCAGGTTTCGGTAGTACGCCCGCGATGCTCCCATTTCTGATGCAGTCACTGGAAAAGCATCAACTATTTACTCACTTATGGTAAGAATATTCTCATATCTTTTTGATTTTCAATCCACCACTGCCACCATTTTCTGAGCGAGATGCGGTATGAATTCACAACAGAAACGGCATTTCGCCTTTTGACAGGCCCTCGCGCGCTGCGAGCGCTTTTCAAGTCCCTTCCACCACGACGTTCAATGGCGGTATCAAATCGCAACACCCTCCTGTCATCGTGATCACGGCCAGGGTCAACCGTCACGTTGGACCGATTTCGAAAATTTTACGACCCCCTCCCCCTTCTAGAGGGCCTCGATACGACCCCCCCCCCTCAGGGTCAACCCTTCACCACCCTCGCCTGCCATCGCCATCATGGGGCTCATTCTATAGTATTCGATTCTGAGACCAGTCGACACAGCCCAAACTCCGCCCACTTTTTTCCTCCAAAATTACCGTCGAGCGGGGGGGGTATATACCTACCACGAAACCGCAAACATCCTCTCACTTTCCCTCTATTTCACCCATATTTCCACTGCAACATTTTCTAGGGGGGTATACACACCGTGAAACGGCAAAATTTTAGCGCGCCAACCAACTGCATCATCACTTCCCTTACTGTAACATTAACGCTACCTCGCGAAATACGACCCCCTTTTTCCACCCCAAACGACCCCCCCCACCCCTAGTTGGGTTTTGTCCAACGGACAGTTTGATCACGGCCTTTAAAAGCAGTAGATACGATGAATCGCCTGTTCACGTAGCATAGATGGCATAGTAGGAAGGGAAGCTAGGTACCTGAGCAGGAAACCTGGTATTTCAAGGTGAATGGCGCGTTCTAATCGGCTTGATAAGCTCTAAGGAGACTGCGCTCCGCCTTCAACCTTTTGCTGCGCCTCCAAACGGTGGCATCGACCTTTGTCATTCATACGTCTGCACACTAACCACCGCTTTTTTTCATTGTCACATCACTTAAAGGCAAAGTTCGGGCTCAGACCCACCTAAGAAGCCCTTACCATGGCTAGAAGTGCTGGGTACGCAAGTGCAAAGGTAGCGCCACCTTTCTACATCGAAACGCGTCACTAGGACCCTAGGCGCCATGGACTTCTAACAGACTCCACCAAACTTAACATGGTCCGCCCACCGTTCGATATCTTGTCTGCGTCGCCACGTTGATCTGCTATGCTCTCTCTTCTCTACCACTCTCCGCGCTCACATTATCTCTCATCTCCCTGCCTGTCTTTTGAACTTCTCCACAGCATAGAGCAAAATGCTCGTATTTCCTGTGTATTTCAGGATTTTCTTTCCTTTTTTCTCCACTGGCGGTCCACCTCCCATCCCTACTTTCACATTTGAGTGGAATCAACCCATCAATATAATCCAGATTCTTACCTTTAACCCCTACACTTCATCCGAACTGCAATCGGATCAGGTACCTACTGTTTTGGACTACCCTATTTTTTTATTTAATCACTGCGTACATTTTGCAAGATTAGCTCCGCAATCGGAACTTGGTCGGGTTCAAGGCAATAAAGTTCTACAAGCACCAAATCTCGAGTCCAAGTTTGTAAAAAACGTACTTGGTCGCATAGCAGTTGCACTTCTAGGTCGACGCTGTCTTATCCTTTGCCCGGAGTGCTGATAGTAACCGTGATCAGACAGATATCCAGAATGAGGTTGCACCGACCAATCCTCGTCCATCCTACACAACGAATAAAGGTCAGGTATAAAATATTGGAGAAAACACTTATATCTAGATTTCTTTGGGTTACTACGCACATCTATTTGGTAGGTACTTACTTGAGAAGAGCGCCACCACCATGAGCCAGTTCTGGCTTCTCATACGTTCTTGATCGTCGCATCACTGCTTCAGAGGAAGCGGCTCGAGAAGCACTGTCTGCATAAGGATCTAAAAAATTGAAATAATAAAATCCCGTCTCTCACTGGATCTGCGTGGGACAAATTAGCGGTTAGGAGTACTGCGAATGTTGGAAGAGCTCAGTACTGTGAATTTTGGGAGGCTCGCTCTACTTGAATGCACTTACCAACGGCTGTGTATGGCGAGGATTTACCGTTGTAGACGAAACTCATTTCGCTCCGTGGTCGTTGATAGGATGAATGGTAATGCTTCACTTTCCGATTGCGAAACCTCTGCAATCAAAGCTGGACTCTCAGAGGAAAATTCAAATTTGTGGATGATCACTATAAAAAAAAACAGAGATAGTTGAAGTAGTGCTCTACATGCACTTCAGATGCGCGCCGGATAAAACATGCGACAAGGAAGGGTAGCGCTCGTATTTATAGTTTTGGAAGAGGCCCATGTCTAGTGAAAATTGACACAATTTCTGGAAATGGAGGTCTTCTTGGGGATTTTGTAATCTTATGGGATTGTGCATTTAGAGAAGAGTGAGTAGTGAAATTTGAGAGAACATCGAAAGCTCGCTGTTCCAGCTGTTCTCCGCCCCCCCCCACCCCTCCTTCGTCCTTTCGAGTTTTGGGAGCTAGGCTGAGTTGAGGATATGCCGTCTTCACATCGTACGGGAATCGACGACACTATCGACCTAATTAAGAATCGGGGGGGGGGGACAGTGAAACTGTTGTGCTTGGGAACTTACCGCGATGCCTCGTTTGACACTGGTTAGGCCGATGTCATAGTTTGCGAATCGAGCGATTCGCTAGCGAATCGCTGGATCCGAGCGTTGCGCCAGCGAATCGAACGTTGCACCAGCGAATCGAACTTTGCGCCAGCGAGTCGAACTATGTACCAGCGACTCAATAGTGGCGGGACCCAACGTTCAAAGGAAGCCCGCCACTTTCAAACAGTGTCCACTGTCACGTGCCACTTCACATTCGCTGGCGAATCGCTCGATTCGCAAACTATGACATCGGCCTTACTATGATTGCAAACTACTGTAACTTTCAGAGCTAGTTGTAAGTACATAACATACCAAACGTAACGGATTCTCATCATCCATGTCGACCAGCGGTAACGTCATTGTTTGGCCATCCAGTGACGTTGTCGAGAAGTCCACTAGAGTCTCACCGAGAAATGAGTTGGCCTCAAATTTGTCGTAGTCCCACACGGTTACCTGAAAAGCGCCTATAAGTTTTTGCGCTGACTCATTAAATCCTGCACGTCACACCTCTAAGACTCGTTCCATGAGCATCGGCTCGGTGATTCCTTGGTAGTAGAACGACTCGTTCCAGATAGGGGTAATTGCTTCAGCAAGCACGGTTGTTTGTCGACGTGACTTCTCACTGCAAAACGAGAACGCCTTCTAATAATCAGCAGAAAAGATTAAGAGGAGGAGAAAACTAATGGGCAGGGCGCAGTAGCCCACGTGTCTCCGCCCAAATGTTCAACCTGGAATGCGCCCGTACCCTAACTAAGGCTATTACATGGACGCCTGATCTCATTCACAATTACCTTCGATCTGGCAGCAAGAAGATCTTCACGTAAGGATTCCGTGGTGAACCATCAGCACGTGGAGGAAGGTCAGCCACCCGTTCAATACGCACTGTTAGTTGCCGTTCCACATGTGAGAAGTACAACGAAATCTAAGCAAACTTGTTTTGTTTGTTGGTTTGTATTATTGTTTGCCATGATAACAGACAGTCTAGAAATCAAGACGTTTCTTTTCCCCATGGAACTGCTAGGGCGAAGAAATGCGTCAAGACTCAATATTTTTATGCTCTAATTCAACCGATCACCTTACAAAATTAATAAGGTCCATCGGATTGTAGCCCAGGAGTGGACACTACCTAAGGTTAGGAACACATATTGTCTCATAAGGTACCTTATGAAAACTGTTTACAGTAGAGGTCAAAAATGTTCGCTGGAACGGTTTTCCGTGCTTCTATTTTTTCCCCAGAATGAAATCTAGCTTCGGATTCTTTTCTTTTGAACATCCTGATTCTTTAAGGCTTGAGGATATAAAAACACTGGAAAACATAGTATATCAATCTTGGAGGGCGTTGCTCGAGCGAAAGAACATAGTGCGCTGGAAATCGTTCCGAAGAACACTTTTGAACACTACTGAGTAAGCTCAGACGTAGTGTAGTGATATCAGAATGAACCTTTGTATATCTCTTTCGAACAGTACGAACGTGGATGATGCTATTAATTCATGTAAAATTCAGAAGAGGTGGCTAGGAAGTGACGCGTGCTGTCGCATTGCGACATGGCGAATATTGATCGATGGGAACGCTACGCCGCAACCAGTTCCGCACAACTATGTACGCATTAAGTGATTATACTCGCTCTTCCTAAAGATACCTTATAATAAGCATATCCGCAAAAAATCACCTCAATTCTTCCGAAAATCTGCCCCCGACCAAAATTCTGCTCCTGTAAAGCGGACACTCGTGGCTCTGGACGTGCCATGTGATCTGGAACAGCTGAGGGCAATTAGTGCAGGAAGTCCAGTCAAGGAAATAGAAAGTGATAGAGATACCTTGGAAATATCCTCCCGTCATTGTCGTCCGATGTCGTGGACTGATCTGTTGATGATGAGGAAGGATGGCTGATTGTGAATGGGAAAGTGTTTGCAGTGGAAGTAATGGAGATGCCGATGGTGAAGCGAACATCTCATGATCTGCAAGTGGCGGCTCACGATTATTCGGAACTCAAAAAACAGTAGATATGCTCAACTTAGAATAAGTTTTATTTTTCAAAAATCAAGCGAGCCATTCATTCTTCCTTAGATGGCTGATCGGTAGCAGATAGAGGTTAGAAATAATTTATACGTCGGTTAGCTCTCACAACTCTTTCTATAAGCCAAAACCTTTATATGAGCCATCCAAATGCAGCAGTTATTTTAAGCAGGAATAAATACGTAGCGCATTCAGAAAAAAAGCTGATGGTGAATGTCGTATCACCTTTCATGCGACACGGGCTTTGCATTCACAAACGATAACACGTGCATTTGAAGCATTTCGTGATGGGTCAGGCTAAACCTACTCTACAACTATTTGCTTTCACGCCCTGTGTGGGATTCTGATTAGGCCTTACACCCAACTAACCCAGGGCAAGCTTGAACTGCTTGGTCATGACTAACCAAATCGACTGAGGCCACTTCTTTACATCGGATTGAAAAGAAAAACTCAAAATTTCGCACAATTTGTCCACAACTGCAAAACATGGTCCGTGCCTCGCCCACTTGGCTATGGAATCGCCTACTTGGGCTCGAGTGCCCAGTCTGTGTCCTACTTAATTATAGTCACAGAGATTGAAACACATGTTGTAAGGTGACATTAGCAGGGTGAATATCGGTCGAGGATTCCTCAACGGCTCGTCGAGGATTTTCGCCTGATCAGTTACGCTCTCCCGCGCGGACATTCACACTCGCCATGCGCGAGCCGTCTGTGCTCTCCGCGCGTACGTTCACTCTCGGCACTACTCTCGCACAGTACAGAGCCATGGTCGAGGAATTCCTCGACCGTTATTCACCCTAGCATTAGAATGCCAGCTATTCCTTGTTTCAGCAGGGCTACATATTGTGTTACTAGCAAGTATAAGAAACTTGGTACGAACCTTGTGATAAGAAGTACTGCAAGTTTGGCAGTTGCCGAACTGGAGTTTGCATGTTAAGAAAGTCGTCGCCACCAGGAACACTGAAATCGCCAAACTGTTAGTATGACATAAATTAAAGTGCTGCATATCTGGAATGCAATGCATACCTGGAGGACCTGCTGACTATAATTTCTACTTGAGATTCGTGTTTACTTGCTGATATTATCTCATACACTTGATCGAATGTTGCATTTTGGAGAGCTTGGCCATTCCATTCCAAAACTTCATCGCCTAAAAATGAGCAAATGTTTTTTTCCGGAAAGATTCGATGACAATAAGTTTTTATTTTTGCTTCACATGCATTATAGCGGCCATCAACACTCTCCAAATAGAAGATTACCACAGGTTTCTTCTACTGTAGTAGCCGTGCCTGCGGCAAGCCTCGGGATATAGACTGGCAGAGGAGATCACCACACAGCGACGCGCGCGTTTGCGGCGCGGCCACCAATCCGAGTGATGTCCCTTCCACACTCCTCCTGTGCGCGTGTGCTATTTCCCTGCTACGTCTCCTCCGCTTCCCACGCGTCGTGGGTTTTCAATTAATTGCAGCGCACAGTGCATACGTAAAATTAAAGCATAGTTTCGTAGGCGTATCATCCACTCTACTGACGCTTCCTGCTTGAGGGGTGAGGTTGGGCAACGTGGGCGAAAGTTACCAACCTGCTCTCAATCGGCCTATGGTGTCCGCCACACTTCCTGGTTTCACTCGAGTAATGAAGGCTCCTAAGCGGCCATTGTCGCTGCGTCGACCGCCGACCACCTTAAATCACATTAATAATGATTGGCAACATAAACAGAAATAAAATCACAAGTTGAAGAAGTGAAAATGGAAAAGGAATTCTGGAAATCTCAAGGACGAATTTCGCAGACCAATAAGGGAAGATGACTAAGGTATGGGCTGCCAACTTCACAGCAGGAGGTCAACAGAGTTCTGGTAGTGGTCTCACTCAACTACCGTTTGAAGTACCCATGACTTGGAGAGCAGTAATTACCTTGAGGCCAAGATCTCCAGATGCCGAATTATCAGTCTTGTGTAATACCATATGACCGATGAGACGACGTTGATCAGCTGACGGTTGCCATGTAACTGGATGCTAAAATCACTGATAATAACTACCACGTTTGAATATTTGGCAACGATTGCATAATTTATCTGGTGGAAGCAGATAGTGGCAGTGCACTACCAGTTCCACCCGCACCACAGCAGATCGATATATTGATTAGATCATCAGCAAAAGTAATTGCAACTAATGAGCAGCCGTTCAGAAACAATACATCGAAATCCTCTTTGACAGATTTTCAAAGACACTGGTTACGATGTAAGTGGTTGCTATTTTGCTCAAATGAAACAAGAGGTGCAAAGAGGAAAGTGAGAAAAACATAAGAAAAAGGGAACCTAGAAAACAGTGAAATTAGGGACCCCATTCCTTTTAGGCCAGCCCTAATGTGAAGGAAAGACAAAGCTCTGCGCTAACAATAAGAGGAAACGTGAAAGAGCACATTGTACGAGAGGGCACAGACACCACATGTGCTCCGAAGAGCCCCTGCTACCTTACTCATACAAAAGAACTGATCGCGACCCGTGCCCTTAAGCTCGATTTAGGTCTGAAATCCAGAAATTTTTGAATAGTTGAATTTTTCTCGTTTGCAATCCGTTTGCTGTCGCCACGGACAGTTTCTGATTAAGATATGCGTATCCATATTTATAAGCAAGAACGGACAAGTTTCCTCCAAACATGTTATTTCGCCTTTCCCTCAGAAGTAAACGCTGCCAAATCAGGTTAACCCATGCGTTAAGTTCGGAGTACATCCGGACCTTCTAAAAACCACTCGGCATAGAGATGAAGTGAAGCATGATAATGAAAAACAAGGGCAAGTTGTCCCAAATAGCCTGGATGAAAAGTGAAAGATAACAGGACAATGGGAAGCTTTGAGAACGTTGATACAACAAAATAATTATTTAAAAACACGGAATCGATCGAGAAGAATAGTATTTTGTAGAGCTATGTGTGGCCTATAAAATCTGATAATAGCAAATACTCAGAAGAAGGTGTTTATGGCTTGAGTTCTCATGCGCATCTTTTCATTTTTTTAGCAACCCGACCTCATTGGTGGCGATCACGCATCGCTTTATTCTGTATTTCTCAACAATTTCCCGGGGAGGAAGTATTATGACGTCGAATATCAGAGAGTGTTCCTGTGACCAAATCAAGTTAACATGGATCAATTCTCCTCTAGGAAACTGAAACTGTCCATCTCCTCGGAACCGATTAATTTCTACGATTACTCTGCTCTTGAAAAAAGTGGTCTGCTAACCTTCACCTATAAAACTAGATGATGCTCCAATACAACTTTAATTGGTAGGGCGAGATGAAATATCTGCGGCTTTTTTCTAGTCTGACTTTTTTCTAGATGTCGTTTTTTTTTCTAATTGTGTTGATACGTCTTGGCACTGTTTTGCTGCCTTTTTAATGTACTTTTTGCACAAGCAAATAAATAAATAAATAAATACGCTCAGAATTTGATGCTGCCAAGACCAGGCTCATATTTCAACTGATAAATTGAGCTTTTTCAAAAAAAAAATCCTGGACAAATGTCGCTTATCTGTTACAGATATTCGTGGTAGTTGTTGGTTCTGCTATACATATCGTAAGTTCAGTAGCTTTATCATCTTCTTAATTATATTTTTTGTTAAGGTGGCTTTGCGCCTGTGTAATAAACAATAACAATTACTATCCATTGACAGCAAACTCTCAAAAGCTTTCATACAAGTCTGGCACCAAATGATCGAGCCCAGGGGAAAGGAAAGTGATACTTTCAAAAATACCGTCGCCGGCTTTTTTCAGGTAGCTTCATTTTGGGAAGTCGGAATTAACCCATTGCGGACACCGTTGTGTGAGCACCTTCGTAGATTTCCATCTGTTTATCAGTGCCCAATAATCTATCTATAGTTTTATCAGCCTATAAATACATGACTTTTGGCGCACAAAAGCAGTTAAGGTAACTTTGTAACTTCGACTGGGCAAAATAAATCGAATATAATTATCCTTTTCTGTGTGGCGGCGTGCTGCACCATGTGCCCGCAAGAGGCCATATAATACACAAAAACCCCGTACTTTAATGGCCCGAACAAGCGGTAATAATATACTGCTCGAAACCTTATGTAAGTAGCAGAGACGAGCTTACCATGAGGTTGCACGCAAGGTTATAATCAAAATGGTGTTCAGAGCATGGCTGCATATTCGGACTGGAAAGTCCCCAGAGGCTGCAGTATGTCAGGTGAGACCTGATCTTTGGGATATGAAGGTTTACGGTATCGACAACAATTAACCGACGGCAGGAGAATGGAAGGGCTGATTAGCCTAAACGACGTACGATCCAGGATGCGATCTCCGGGCCGTGAGCGTGATAATTCGTGCCATTGAACACTAACACCTGTAAGCTTTAAGCGGCCTTCATTCAAAGCGTCACTTCGCTCCGGCCTTCAAGCACTGTTGATGGAGACTTTCGCATTCTATTTCATTCACTTATTCCACCCGATAAGGACAACAGTGTAATAACAGTTTACGGAGCGTCTTCCCCTCTGAGCGGCTTTAGCCGGGCTATAATGACTCTAAACATTCTAAGTGATGTGGCTGTACGCAATAGGTCTACATCCTTGTTACTGTACCAAATAGTGCTATTTTCTCTAACCCTATTGTTTTCAGAGGCGTATGACGTTCTCTTTCGACAGGACTTTTGAACTTGTGCCCCTACCGATAGACAACATTCTAATGACAACTACTTTTTTTAAGTAATCGAGGACCTATGAAGAGCAATATCGATTCGCCTCTGATTATTCAATAATCAATCAATAAGCAAAATTCCTCAAACATACAAGTAGCAATCAACCATCTTACCGAAAGATATGTGCGGATTTTTGCGGCCAACATGTCTCCAGGGATGATGGGAGCCGACGGCGGTTCATGATGTTGTGTACTTGCGCGAGGTTCGTCGGCCGGATGTCGAACAACAGTTGCACCGGCTAAAAATATTGTGAAAATGCAACATTCAATAAGCAAAGCTGAGAGTTATGCTTTTGGAGTGCGCCGTGCACCCTCAATCCAAATGTAGGTAGAGGTCGATTGATTATGTCAGTTTTACATACAACTTACAACTACTTTTTTGGGTGACCAATGTTCCGATAAGAGCAGCTATGGTAAAGAATAATTCTTCAACCACCTACCGGGGATGGGAAGCTTGAGCTTACAGAAAGTGCTAAATGAGGAAGTGAAGCATATCGATTCACTAAGGGCATGTAATAAAGCTTTTGCCCTAATTCGTCTACACCATTGGATTAACTGCTATACAGGACTTTTATAATACAACAAAAACAATGAGAATAGTACCTTTAGGAGATTGCATGAAAAAGCGGGATATGGACGAGGCCTTGTGTGACCGTGTGTGTCCCTCTAGACGGACGTGGCAGCGAAACAAAGCGCTTGATGAAACGGCGAAATTGTCGCAAATGAAGGCATTAGCACCACGATGCTCTCTCACTCACTTAAGACGACGGAACGGAACTCCAGAGCACAGCAATTTTCCGCCTATTGCCCTGTCACACGGGGAGCCATGTATTGGCGTCGGGCGCATGCCCCGCGATGAATGTGAGGAAATGAGGGATTTGGAAAGCGAAGAAAAAAAACTATGGCTTGTAGGCTCGGATGAAGATGCAGTAGAGGTCAAAAGTTCCGCATCACCTTTCAGAAAAGATTCGATAATCAGCCGAAACCTTCTTCTTTTGGGTGTCGTGAACCTCAAGATTCGAGATTTCAAAAATTTAAGAAGCACATAAATATTTAAAGTAAATTCTTTAGTTACGAAAAACCTTTCTTCAAACATTTTTGACCGCTACTGTAGCTCAGCAAAAATCGTGAGATTCAAGTGATAAGCGATGAGTCTCATATCGTGGTGCTGGACATAGTGAGAGCTTGGGCAACGATTCCGCTGATGCACTAACCATGGAACGCCAGCGTTTGCCAATTGCACCTCAAATTTTTTTAGCGTTGGTCCTCCATTTGTAAATACATAGCCACGATTATGTGCTCATCGTTTCCTACGAGGACTCTTGTGAAGCTTCAAGACAAGGCTTGGAATTGGGACAGCTCTACCATACAGACGAATCCAGTGAATTTGAATGAACTTGAAGAAGATAGGCTTTACGTGGCCGTCAATCACTTGACCAGTTCGCAAGTGAGTAGGAAATGCACGGCGCGCCCGTCACACGGGGAATTTAAGGGTAACAGGCAAGCGGTATTCAGCCGACGACCGAGATCTTCTCAGAAGTTGGTTATTTGGTAGTTGGTAAGGAGGATTTTTACAAGTGACGTGAGAAAAGGGTAGCTCCAGGACTGACATGTACAGTACTAATACCCTGAAAATCAATAAATTGATGCCTACGACCTTAGTGTCCCTTTGATTTCAAGGTTTCCTTTGAAGATGGATGCAG